TAGAATTATTCCCTTATAATTACTATTATTGCCACCACACTGGCCCTGTGGGCGTTCTATTTACTTTAGAACTCAGACCCAAGTGAAGTCCTGAGGCCATTCTCACCATAATCTGCATAAAGCTAGCACAGGGCTGGGCTGGCCGTTTGGGCAAGTTTTACAAATGAGCAAGAGATAACCAAGCATGACTACGCAAAAACTAGGTAGGTCAGTTCAAGGCCTGGTTTGCTCTCTGGGCCTCACGGTACCCATTAGGCATAGCTCTTGGGGACACCGAGCATCAGACCAACCACTGAGGAGCACATGCGTGGATGCCTCTTCTCCCAGAAGCCTGGAAGCAAGGGCAGGATCTCCAGCTTGTGCCGGTCTGGGCAATGCTTACAACACCCACCTAATCACTGCTGGGTTTCTGAGCTCCTGTACTGAAATGTCTGTTGTGGAGGGAAACGTAGGGCGAGGGACTGAAGTCCAGATCCCTTGTGGGAGAAACAGGACTTCTTCCCCTCACCCTGGCCTGCCATGGCTTCCCGTTCCCAGGAATTCTGAACAGAGAAGAGAGGAGAAGGCAATGCTGGAGCGTGCTTGTTACTTATAGCCACTGAGGGGCCGCCAGGGAGGAATTAGACCTGTTTTCAAGTCATTTTCAAAGAATCACCATCTCTGAGGACACCGCAAGAACAAAATATTGAATAACTGAAAGGGGGGGGGGGGAAGATTTGCATATCAAGCGATATAAACAATGCAAATGTCCTGGGAGGAGCTGGTGGAATTGAGGTTTCCTAAGAAGTTGCCTCTTTCCAAAGCACTCATCCTCTTCATTACCTTGTTTTCAATATTGTTGGTTCCTCCGACAGATGTAGCTGATTTTCCTGTTCTTCTGGAGTTCCTATAACATTTCCAACAGTCGTCACTTTTTCTCTGGAAAGTTGGTGCTCTCTAAACGTGCCACCGAATCTTGGGAACGGCCACCCCCACCAAGTTCTGTGTCACATCCACGCACACAATGCATCATGGTGACCCCTCTGTCTTTTACAGCAAGGCATGCCCAGATGGTACGAGGGACAGAGGAGAAGTGTCATTACGGATCAGCTGGTTAGAACGCCACCAGTTGGGATAGCTTTGTGAGTTTGAGCCTTGGGCTGATTGGGTCTGTTCTGTGTTTCCTGGCTCCCAACTGCGTCCCCAGTATCCACCCAGTTTCATTCAAGGTCAGAATGATGGCGAACCCTCCTGTTGTGGGAGAACCAGCACCTGCGTGTCACCGGACTTGAGAGGCAACTGTAAAAGCATACTTCTAACCATTGACCGTCCCCATCAATAAGAGTTAGGTATTAAAATATTAAACAAAACATTTTTGTGGTTACCCAAATTGTACCAGGTTGGAAACGATTTCCCAGCTCTGAGCATCTCTCAGCTAAATGATCCATGCCACAGAAGTAAGCATGATCACAAAACGTGACATTTCAGGGCACACCAGCAGTGAGAAGGAAAACACATAGAAGAAGGAGGAGTATTTCAGGGGGAAAAAAACACAGCTGAGACACGTTAATAGTTGGAATTTTTTCCACGAAGTTTTTTCTTTCTGTTTATGATTGTCGTGACATTCATAATATTAGCTTTAGATGGGGAACTTCCCATCCCACGCGCCCCTTGCTCTCTTGATACACCTCCAGGAGTTCATGGGCAGTATTTGATGACATCATAATCAAGATTTACAGCACACTGCATGCAAAGAATGAAGGTAAAACATCAAGGGGTGCCTGGGTGGCTCAGTCGGTTGAGCGCCGGACTCCGGCTCAGGTCATGATCTCACAGCTCGTGAGTTCGAGCCCCGAGTCGGGCTCTGTGCTGACAGCTCAGAGCCTGGAGCCTGCTTCGGATTGTGTGTCTCCCTCTCTCTCTGCCCCTTTCCTTCTCATGCTCTCTTTCTCTCTCTCTCTCTCTCTCTCTTTCCTTCAAAAATAAACATTAAAAAAAAGAAAGAGAGTGAAACATCAGTACTAACCGGAAATGCCTGACAAAGTTCTAGGCGCCTCATTTCTTTTCTCCCTTCTATTCTTCTGTCTTTTCCACGTAGTCTTCCATGAACATGAACCATTCTCACAACTAAAATAAAATCATTTAAACTGCACGGTAACGAAGACGGAACCATTATATATGTTCCAGATTTTGTAGTACAGGGCATTGCCTCTTCTGTCTCCGGTTTTTCCTCTACTCAAACCGACAGTTTTGGAAACGAGACGCTCCGCTTTGATGGTAGGCCAGGATCAAATTAAACCACTCCTGATTTTACAAGCCTAATATTTCAAATGGGAGAGACTTCGGCTCACTCAACACATTCTAACCCACTTGTGCTTGACGAAGCATTGCTCGTGAGAATAATCAGCTTGAATAATGTGCGAGAGCAGAAAGACAGCTTTTTAGGAAGCCACTAATTGTTCTTCCCTCGACGCTCCCGCAGACGAAGGTGGAAAGGTAAAGAGAAGGGCCTTTCCTCTGACCCAGCGGAGGGTGTCTGCAGCTGCATGGGCAGTGTTGGGGTAGAAATAAGCACAGGTATCCAGTGGGCCAGGTCAGACCTCGCGCCCAACCGGAAGAAAAATTTTGCAGCCAGTCAACCACCACATCACATCCTTCAAATATTATCTAGTGTTCAGTCTTGAGCCCCAGTGCAGGAGACAGAAAAACTGTAGTGCCTGGGTGTGTTCCAACAGCCAGGGTTCCACTGCCTTAGCCAACTCTACCACTGAGTTACAGTTTCTATTTCAAAATTCTAGGGGCGCCTGGGTGGCTCAGTCCGTTAAGCGTCCAACTTCGGCTCAGGTCATGATCTCGCAGGTCGTGAGTTCGAGCCCCGCATCGGGCTCTGTGCTGACAGCTCAGAACCTGGAACCTGTTTCAGATTCTGTGTCTCCCTATCTGTCCCTCCTCTCTGTCTCAAAAATGAATAAACATTAAAAAAAATCAAAATTCTACCTTCGTGCAGATGACCCTTTTACTTTGCTGGTTAATTTTAATCCTCTAAAAGGTGATAGCCAATTGCTAGCAAAAGAAAGCAGACACAGATAAGAGGTAGCACCTCTCTGGGTAATTCAGATCGGCTTCAGTCACTGCATCACCCAATGCAGTTACCACCCCCAGGCCGAGGTATTCAGCGTCTCTTATTTTGCAGTTAGACCCAGCTGGGGCTTGAAACTGGCTCCAGACGTTTAGTAGCACTACCAGATGGTGGGATCCTCTTAGGAAGTAATTCTGTAGGCTTTCTATTCCCTAACCAGGTCTTTGAACATAATGTGCCTTCCCACCCAGTCACCAGCAAACTCCAGCCTTCTTGTTCCCTAACTAACCAGTCTGTCCCTATCTCTACTCTAGGAAGAAATTAGGAAAGAGAGGGACCAGAGACAGAGAAAAGAGAAGGGGGGAGGGAGAGAGGAAAAGAGAGAGGGGAAATTATGGTCTCATATTTTCTGCGTATACTAGTAGCCTATATTATTTTTCTTCTCAGTCGTCAGGATTTCTTCCACCTCCTCAAGTACATTTTCATGTGTTTAGCTTTGTTTAGTTCTAAGAAATATTTCTCTTCCTCAGTCTTATCTGGTGATTCTTTTATTCTTATTGAAATATAATTAGCATGCAGTGTTATATTTGTTTCAAGAGTACAATATAGTGATTCAACAATTCTATACATTATGCAGTGCTCATCACGACAAAAGTGCCCTTAATCCCCTTTATCTATTTCACCCATGCCCCCACCCACCTTCCTGATGACTCTTTTTTTTTTAACGTTTATTTATTTTTGAGACAAAGAGAGACAG